AAGTGACTGTCTAGTCTTGTCTTAAAAACCTCCAAGGATGGAGCACCCATGATTTCTGAAGGCAAGCTGTTCCACTGGTTAATTGTCCTCACTGTTAGGAAGTTTCTCCTTAATTCCAGGTTGCTTCTCTTTTTAATCAGTTTTCAATCAGTTTCCAAGTACAATAGCATTGTCCAAAAAAAAAACCTGCACAATGTATCTTATTTTATTTAAGGGGCTATAAAAATGGGAATGAGAATCTTCTGTATTAATGCATCCTTTATCAGAAGGAGTACCTATGTATAAATTTGTAATCTTCCTATTTATGTTATAAATTAAAATGTAATAATAGTTCTTTCTAAATGTATAGTTTTTATGTATATTCAAATATACACTTTTCAGCAGTGGCCCAGTTCCATTTTTTAAGTCTTGTAAGAGGTGTATCAATTGGCTCTCAATCTTATCTATAAAACAGTTAAAACAGTTAGAGAACTGCAGAATTGTCAGGTCGTAAATCTGTGTTAGTAGTTATTAAATCAACTGAAATAATTGGGTTTAAATAACAACACTAGCATCTGGGTAATATTTTTTTTTAAGTTTGGGATGAAAGTTTCTTCTTTTTTTTAATGGACGTCCCTGAAAAAGTTTGGATATAAAAAAAGTTTGACAAACCTGAACTCTAAAGGAAATTGATATCAATATAAATTCACCAAGTTAAGCTTCAGTGTATCTTCAGTAACATGAAAATTATTACTTAAAGAGATGAGTCCTGTTGCTGAGCTTATATATAAGTGTAAAAAACTTTAAACTTTTACAACATTTAAAAAAATTTGATGTATATTTAAAAGGTCTAGGAAAGTTTGTTTGAAAAAAATGTATATATAATAGATGCCGTGTGCTTGAGTAAATATATAATAATTATTGTGTTTATTTCCAGAGTATAGTAAGATATAGCAAAACATGACTTTTGTAATGCAAATCAGAAAAAAAGTTCCTAAGGTAGTCTAATTCTGGTATAAGCACTAAAGATGCACCTTCTGTTTTACGACAAAATGGAGCCTTAAGTAGATATATACATGCTTTTAATATCTAAAATATAATAGACCCTCTGACTGTTTCAAAAACTAGTCAACTGTTGATTATGTTGACGAAACATACTGTTATCTTTTTAAATGAGGTTGCCATTGTTGTTACATTTACATGGCATCTAAAAATTTACAGAGAAATAGGCTCTTTCTGCTGCATTCAGTAAGAATTATTCCCTAGTAAGCACATTTACAATCGCACAGTTCTGGAATTCAATGGATTTTCTCCAACCTGAGGCTGATTAAGCATGCATACATTCAAGATGTACCAGAGCTTTCTTATTAATAAACAATTTTTCGCTTAGCATCAGTTCTTTTGAATCTGCATTTTTGTGTTTGTCACTTCAACATTATATTTATTTGTTTCACATGCTGGATGGCAACAATTTTGTTTTAATAAATAAAAGAGAGATTTCTACTTGTAAAATGCAGGGTGATTATTGAATAACCTTTTAAAAATCTGTAAATTTCCATATCCATGTTTCCCTAACATTGGAGAAGCAGATATCTTACATTTAAATGCAATATATTTGAATGTTCTCACTATGCCAGACAAAACCAGCTCCTCGATATTATAACTTCCCAAATATCAAATTCAGCTAATAATATAGCTGCCTTCAATTAGTTTTTAAAACATCACTTATATGTACGCACACACAAACATTTGCATTATCTTACTGATTTATAATTATGTGAAGTATATATTCCTGCATTAGATATTAATTTGTTATAAACTACTAGCAGCAATAGGACCTTGAAGCTATTGAAAAGAGAGGCACAGTCATGTCTTAAATCTTGGTATGAAACCAAACAGGCCAAATTTCTTCCTGCAGCAAGTAAAAGAAAAATTCTAGCAAATTGCTGAACCTCCTATCAATTCCAAACTGATTTCAGATTGGAAAATATAAATGTAACTGATAAAACCCCTTTAAAGTACATTATAAGAATTCCTGATATCCTAGGGCATACAAAAACAGCAATAACTAGTTGCACAGAGTTTGGAATTCATTATTTGTTAGCATCTTGAATTACACTCTTTTAAAAGTTATTAGACGTGACAGGAGATAATAGGACAGACCTGGGAAATTCTAGATCAACTTTGCTGCAAAGGGAGAACGAATCTCCCCCATCCAGTCTTAAAAGTCCTGCTCTACTTTCAATCAAATGAAATATGAGTTGTTTTCAGCATACATATTTTGACTGCATCCTGTTATTCTGAAGTTGTTCATCTTAGTACAGCTTATTTATGCAGTTATAAGAAGGAACCCTGTTCTTTTGTAAAGTTGATCCAAAGTGATGAAATATGACCTCAGAGAAGAGTGGCAAAGAACTTTGACAAATAAAGTCCAAAAGCAATGCTTAATTTTCTCCTTCCTTCCTTCTTTCCTTCTCTTTCTGCTAGATTTTGAGACACATTTTGAAAGTCATGTCACCAACACCTTACAAGTCACATTTGCAGTCTCTCCAACTTTCAAGCCCAGTAAAATAGTGTTCGTTCTATTGATTAAACCTGATAAATAACTCCTTCTCATGCCTGATAAAGAAGAATGTTTCCCTACTAATTTTATAGGTTAATTTGAGCTAATTAGACATTAACACAGTTACCGCTAATCATGTATCCTCCGCTTGATCTCAGCAGTTAATGAATGCCCCCATTGCTTGAGATATATTATTAAGTGATCAGGAGAGCTAATTCACCAGTTGGCAGCCGTTCTTCCTTATGGAGGAATGGAGTGGGTGACAACATGGTGAATAGTACCCTCAGCTGTTCTAGCAGACATTTCATTGTATAAAATCAAAATCCTATGGTGTTTCATGATAGTTTACTAAATCCCCATATATATATTTGCGTTGGAATATAGTAATAAAAATGCATTAACCTTGTATGCTCCCTGACACTCAATATCTCTTAACAGAAGGAGAAGCTCGTTCTATGGATAAACATTTAGTGTATAGCTTAAAATGGGATCCTCCAGTCTGTTTAATATATGAATATATTGGTTTGAAATATATTGTATCAAATATTAAATGTATGTATAATTGTTAACTGGATATAGAGATGTGTATGACATGACTGTCATTTTTTTTCTTTTATCACTGCATACTGCCTAAAGAACAAGTAGCTATTTATTTACAGGTTTGAAGAAAGATCAGTTACCTAAATATGAACTACAAGTGGCACAAGATAAAATAAACATGATTTTTTTTTTAAAAAAAGAGTTGTTGGCAAGAGTACAAATGCCATTACCAAATGTGAAAAATGTAAACATCGAAAAATAATGAGTTGCATGATGTCCACTCCCATCTCGGTGAAACTGTTGGAGCGACTGTTCCATATTCTAGATGTGTTTCTCTTTCAGTCTGCCATATGTTTTGTTATTTTTAGTACATGATCAAGATGCAGGCCTTAAGCCAGGCATTCTCCCCCTCCCTCCCTTAAATCCATTTGGATTTATTTATTATATTTTCCTTCTTCTTTTTTCCCACAGCTAAACCTTTACTACAGGTAAAAATAAATTGAGCACAACACTGCCGTTTCCTTTCTGCAATTGCCTGCACAATCTCAGGATAGATCATTTTTCTTTGCCAACCAGACAGCAACATTCTGAATGTATATTTCATTTGCTAATGGCCTTTTATTGCTTCTTTACTTGAACCATGTGGTCGGCAAGAAAACTGATAGGGCCCAGTTTTTTTGTTTGTTCAACCTTCCTCTATATATTTAGTGGGGGGGGGGGTGCTGTGCTTAAGAGGTCACTGCTTAAAAAGATAGATGGCCACAAATTTAAAAGAATGCATATGTTATTTTGCTCTGTGAATTTGTGGGATGCTGTAAACAGCAGAGAAGATAAGAACAAACTGACTACAATAAGGATCTGATTCACAAGAACTGTTATCTATTGAAGATTTGTACCTACTTGTGATTTTATTTACCATGTTGTATCAAGGTAATTAAATAAAACAACAAAGTAATTAAATAAAATAACATGTATGAAAACTACACCTTATTTACAGAGCAATTCTCTATATATTTATTGAGAAGCATTTTCCATTGAGATAATTGATGCTGCCTTGCAGGTAAGTATGTATGTAAGCACGTACTATCGTAAGAAATGCATATTAAGGATTGTAAACTCATTTTTTATATATAAAAATGGAGCAGGTTGTTTTCTACTATAAAAATGATAGTTTATTAATATGAAAAATACCAATACAATTTTTAAGAAAATCAGTCAACCTCAAATATTTTGTCCTATTAATTTTTAAAAGGGCAAAATTATAAATTACTTTGTATTCACAGTTTAAATTATGTATCTGAAGCAACGACACAAAGACAAATACTATCCCATTCCAAAATAAAACCATTCAGGAATTTCTATCCCTCAGAACAAATATAATTAACTTTTAATTCCTATCGTGTTTGACATTCCTAAATTATCAAGAAAAAAAGTAAAACCATTTTTGTTTAATAATGGAGAGAAAAATTATCCATGTCCAGAAAAAATAATGCCTCAAAACTGATAGGTAGCAGATATCTGAATTATATTGGTAAAGTTCTTCTTTAAAAAAAAAAAAGCTTTCCATTTCAGAGATGTGTGTCAAATATTTCTAAGTTTAAAACTAAGAATTAAATATTCTGGTTAGCTACATATTAATTTGCAAATATTAAAGACACAGAAAAGCAGATAACTTCACATATGTATAAATAATATGCATCCCATGTTTCATTCTTAAAATAAATGTAGCCAAAAGTGCATTAACTTGGGTAACATTGCTTTTGTAAAAATATATTTTGCTTTTAACCTGTTTCCTCTTCCTCACACCCCCTACCCAATAATTACATTAGCACACATTGACAACTTGAGATTGGCTACTATTTTGTTTTCTCCCATGGAACGCTGCTAAAAATAAGTGCAGAAAATGTTCACTACATACCTGATCACTGATCTGACATGCAACAAGATTAGGCTGATAGTAGCATCCAGCAAATTTGATATACTTTAGCCAATTTCCTACATCTGGCTGGCTGGCATCAACACAGAATTTCACATTGTAATGCTCATCCAAGATCTAGAGAGAAAATAGAAAACAAGACATCGTTGTTGCTTTGGTCTCATTCAGCTAGTTTGAAAATAAATCACAGTCCTTCAAATAAACAAACAGAAAAGAGCTTAAGCGTGTTTTATAATGAAGTATGCTTCTTCAGTGGACTTCACAAAAACAATTAGATTAAATAGGCCCCAGTAATTAAAAGAACAATTACTCTGTCACACAGATATATCTCTTACAATATATTTATCTATAAACAAAATGTGGTGGAAAAATCCTGAATTCTTTAATGAAAACTCATGTGAATAGTCATGACTTTTTACAAAATGTAGGTTTGGTTATTGGCAAACAGATGCAAAATTAGCTAGCGTCATATCTATAAGTTGCCTCTTAACAGTTTACATTTAATATATCTTTTCCAAAACAAAATTTCACTGGTTAGAAAAAAGATTAGGTTTGGAAGAAGTAATTGTTCTTTAAGTTTTATATACTGTGCAGTCAAGGGATAAAACTGCGAGAATTGCCTAACAACAGGGCCCCTTTTATACCACACCAAAGAAAATAAATACAATAAAGTGTAAACACTTGTTCAGAATGTAGCTGCTTTTGGCATATGCCCTAAATTTATTCAGATGGGAAAAAAATGCAAAGTTAATGTGATTGCTACAGGCTATATTAGAAATAATACACCATAAGAATATTATGATAAGACTAAATATTATAATGCAATATCACAATTTGCCTGTCTAGAGGCCTCATCTGAGATTTCAGCTATTTCAAAATGTATACTCCTTAGATTCACAGATTTCCCATGTCGACTTTAGAGAAAAACCCCACGGTACAATTGTAAAAACAAAATTACCACCACTACCAACAACAACAAAACAGCACCAAAACCAAAACCAAGATAAGTTTATGGGAAATTGTAGAAGAGAAGAGATTATGCAAAGTCTGAAATGTAAAAGTGCATGTTTAGATTCATAGCAATTCTTGTTTTTGAACTGTTATGTCTTAAGAATCCTGGTATCGTTTGTCATCTCCTCTTAATAAAATCCTAAATTAAGTTTCCTCTGAAAAAATAAACAATCTCAGTTCCTAGCTCCAATTCAGTAACTAAATGAACCTAGTGGATAAAGCTACCTTATTCTGGCTCACCTGAGGCTAAAGTCAAGAACTGGAGGGCAACATGTTCCTAGCCTGAGAACATTTCCCCCCCCACAAGAGTTCAGGTAATCACCCAGAAGCAGTTTTACATCATTAACTCTTCACAAAACTTCAAGAGGCACAAAGCCCAGGGCACAAGGCAAGGGAGCACTGAGAAAGTGCCTCTTGTATGTTTTGTTAAGCAGCAGGCACTTAAACCAACAAGGGTGCCACCAATTTTTAATGTTTAATGCATGCTCCGAAAAGAGGGGCCTTCCAGGGGTGAAAACCCACTTCAAAGTCAATTTCAGGAGAAGAATTAAGCCTTGGAATCTTTTTTTACACATGGGGCTTTGTGCATTTGGCCCAGCGCCTCCATTGCACACAGAAAGAAAAGTGGAGCTTTCAGCTTCCAGGGCAAAATTACTTCTACCTCCCTCCAGAAGAAACCCCACTAACCTCTCACCATCACCTGAGACTTTGGCTGGATCATCAGGGAGACAGCCAATAAACAAAATAAAGCAAAGTAAAAATAAAATAAAAAATCCGCTCTTTGGGCGAAGACGTGCTGGAGGAACCAACAGTGTGCTTCAAAGCAGCCTCCCTGTGTTCAGAGAAATGGCTGGACGGGACAGAAGAATACTTGCACACATATAGAAAAAAGGCTCAGTGCAGGACGAGGCCCGTCCAGATTTATCTGGGCCTCTTCCTGAAGCCCAAGAACTGGGCAAAAGAGATATTGAGAATGGATAGATGAGCTATCAGAAGATGTGCCGCTTTTCAAGCGTTTATCCTTCCCCTTAAGGACACCCTCCGAATTGCCCCCACCCCAATCCCACTTTTCAGAGGTGCCACTTTTCAAAGTTTTCATTCAAGGTTCAGAAGTTCTATTAATCGAGATAATTCTAGACAACAGTAGAGGAGAGCACACTGAATGCAAAGAAGAAAAGCCTTCTAATCCCACACCTTGAATAATTCTTTTTTTTTTTTTTCCATCTAGACCTCTTCAATTCAACTATTTCTGAAGCAGGAATCCAACTACCCCGATGCCTAAAGTTCAAGATCAGGGCTTCGGGGTTGATTTGCTTCCTTCTCGCTCTCTCACCCCCCCCTCCCTCTCTTCCAGTTGATGCATTTGAACAAACTGGTGCCTTTTGGGTAGAAAAAAGTAAAACTGCTCCCAATCGCGACCATTCACTTTCTCTGCCTTTCCCCCTTCTGTCCGTCTGATGCCACTGATTGATTATTTCCTTTCTCTTTCTTTCTTTCTTTCTTTCTTTCTTTCTTTCTTTCTTTCTTTCTTTCTTTCTTTCTTTCTTTCTTTCTTTCTTTCTTTCTTTCTTCCTTTCTTCCCTTCATTCATGCGTGGCGTGCCCTGCACTTAATTCAAGTTCTTTCTTTCCAAAGATCAAGAGAAACCTTCCGTCCCAGTGGATTAAATCAAATCAAAACTGCGAACTTTCTCCCCAAAACTCGTTTAGAAGCAAAAAAATAAAAATAAAAATAAAAAACAAAGCCTGGGGAAAAAACGCTCCAAGGACCGCGCGCCCTTTAATTCTTAACTTTTAACTGGATCGCTGCAAACAAACCGCTTTGACTACCAACCTGCAATACAGTCGCGCTTCCCCCCCCCCTTTTGCTCGAGGAATTGGGAGCCACGTAGGGGGTTTACCTGCTCCCAAATTCCCCGCGTGGGCTTCCTTAAGCAAGAACCGAGATTCGGGGGGGGGGTGGAGGGGAGATGGACAGGCGTCATATCTCCCCCCCCCCGCTTCCCCTTCCCTCCCTGCCCCCAGACCCACACCTCTGGCTCGGTCTTCTCTCCCCCCCCCTTCCACCCTCCGAAGCCTTTTTGGCCCCAGAGACAGATGACAACAGGCTGCAGATCGGCCGTTGGGGGGCAGCGGCGGAGGAAAAGAAGCAAACTTCTTATCTTAGGCTCGGGGTGACGTTTGGGGGGGGGGGAGAGAAACCCACCAGCCGGACGGGAGAAAAGAGAGCGAAAGTGTCCGGGCCTCGTGGAAACAACACCTCCCTCCTCCTCCCCCCCCCCGGCTTGTTCTTCTTCTGAGGAGTTGGCGCGGGCGGTCGTCTTACCTTGTCCAGCTCGGATCCCAGCAGGTCCGAAATTTCTCTCTGCCCCCCCCCCAAAAAAAAAATCCCTTCCTTTCCGCGGAAAGGAGGGCTGGAGTGGGGTAGCGGGGTGGGCGGGGGGCGGTAAGGAGAGGATTGCAAAACAAAACAATCACAACAACGGCGCCAATCGATCCTTCAAACAGCTGTCAGCAACCTCTCCCGAGGAGATTCCCCCCCCCCCAGCTGCCTTTACGCGCCCTCCCTCCTTCTTCTTCCTAGGAGCTTTCGCAGTCCTCGCTGGCCAAAGAAAGGCGTCTAGGAAAGCCGGCGCAGTCCCGCCGGCTCGGCTTCCTGAAGTGCTCGAATTCCTTCTCCGGCATTCGGGGCGGGCTACGGGCGCAGGGGGAGGGAGAGACTTTCTTCGCCTCGCTTGAAAACTTCTTCTCAGGGTCCTCGCCCGGCGTGAGGCGTGGGGGGGGGAGGGAGGAAACGTTGCGGAGAATTCGCGGGGGGGGGGCGTGAGTTGAGGTCCGCGCTCTTCGCCGAGAAAGCGAGTCTCCTCAGACTGGGGGCGACCGGCGTCAGAGGCGGTCGGGCGCGGGCGGGGCGGGCGCGAGAAGAAGACGCGCGGCGATCGCTTTAATTGTCCCCATTGATTCCCAGCCGGCGTGTTAATTTCTTTCCCCCCTTCGCCCGGCGTGCCCTCTGGCTGGCTGGCTGAGCGCGCTGAGGGGGTGGGGTGGGGAGGGGAGGGGAGGAGGGCGGACGAGTCTCTGAGTGGGAAGCGGGTGGATGTGGGGAGGGGGGCGCGCGGGGGGGGGTCTGCGTGGAGTCGAGAGAAAGTTACCCAGGTGGAGGGAGAGAGGGCGGGAGCGCGCGCGGGCGGGCGCGCCCGCGTGAGGGGGGGAAAATAACTTCCTTTTCACTTCGCCGCCGCCGCCGCTTGATCACAAGGGAGGAGAAAAGCGTGTGAGCCAGGGAGAAAAGGGGGAGGAGGAGGAGGAGGAGGAGGAGGAAAGTTCCCCGGGTGCCTCCTCCCCGCGCTGCGCCCCGCTTCCGAGCTCTCCGAAGAACTGAGGGGACAGGACCTTCTCTCCCCTCCCCTCCCCCTTGCCGGCCGAGGGGCGTCTTTGCCCCGCGAGCTGCCTCTTTAACCAGAAGTTGCTGAGGGAGGGAGGGAAGGAAGCCGGGTGGGGTGGGGTGGGGGCGACTGGGGTGGACGGGGGGGGGAGCGGGCGAGCCCCTGAAGAGGGATCTTTTTTCCCCCCCCCCACCTCGTCGCCTCAGCGGCCGAGGCTCGGAAGCCAGACAGAGGCTCCTCTTTCAGTCAATTTTTAAAGTGACAGCCGCCTCCTCTGGCGAGAGAGGTCACAAAAAGGTCGCCCAGGCAGAAGCCCTCGCCCGGCAGACTGATTACGGATGCGCTCGGCCCCGGGAAACGTGTCAGTCCCGTCCAGGTCACTGGCGGCCAATCGGGAGATCTGCCTTGGCTGGGATGTTTGTTTGTTTTTTGTTTGTTGTTGTTGTTAAGGGAGGGGGAGAGAGCCCTCCGTCGCCCTCTTTTTTTTTTCCCCCTCAGGGAAGGCTGAAAAGGGGCGGGGGGGGGAGACGTCCCATCGCCCCCTCATTCTGCCCCAGCGGTGTCCAGAAAGCGCAGCGCTCTGGCTCGCTCCGGCTTTTGTTGATTTAAGGCGACTTTTACGCACCTCGGCGGCGCTTTAGTTTAGTTTGGAGCGAGCAGCCTCGGTAAGCGAGGAAGCAGAAGAGGTGAACGCGCCCGGGCTGATAAATCTGGGGCTGCTTTTATTGCCGCGGGTTTGGCGGCTTCGGCTAACCAATAGCCAAACTGGCAAAGCCAATCGCTGGCGACTTACACGCATTTCGTGCAAGTGATCCGCGCCTGTCTCTTGAAAGGCTGTTTAATGACACCAGTGGCGTTTGCGAGGCTTCTATTTGACACTCGCTAACCGGGGTTTTTGGCTGCATTCCCCCCCCCCCTCCTCCCTCCGCCAGTCCCGCGTTCAACATTTTTCACTTCTCTCTCTTTTCACTTCGTAAAATACAGGACATTTTATATTAAGACCTTTAGAGCGAAAAAGCTCAGCGGCATTTTAGGCGAGTTTGGCAGTACAGATCTTTATAAATCCTCGATGCTAAATTATCATTAAGCTTTTCGTGTAAACCATAAGGAAACATATAGAAACATATGAAGCAAATTTTCAGAAAGAAGTATTTTCGACTTTTCTTATTTCCTAAAGGCGACAACCAAGTTTTGTTCCTGCCGTTCTTTGCACAATACGGGCGCATTAAGCCAGCATTTCATGTTACCCCCCCCAAAAGAAAGAAAGAAAGAAAGAAAGAAAGAAAGAAAGAAAGAAAGAAAGAAAGAAAGAAAGAAAGAAAGAAAGAAAGAAAGAAAGAATCACATAGAAGAGGGTCCTGGATTTCGGAGTAATAACTTCAAGCTCTCTCACAGACATCCTTCGGCTGTCTATTCGCGACACTGCCTCGTTTTCCCCCTGTTGGAAACCGAGTTAGTGGGACTGCAAACTGGGAGGTTTTTTATATATATAAAAAAGAGGGGGGGGGTTTCACAAAAAAAGTAGAACGATTCCCAACGAACTGAACTTGGGAATTTGGATGGCTGGTATCCAAATTCATAAGTGTTAACGATAAACGGGAAAATTGCTTTGCACTTTTTACACGCGCGCGGACATCCATTCAGATCATGCGAAGAGACTCGCGTTGGGTGGGAGGCCGTGAGAAAGGTGCAGGGCTGAGTATGTGCCATCCATATGGACGCCAACAAATATTGGGGCGGGGTTAGGATTGGGGTTCACCTCCGAACACCACCGCGGTGATCTTTTTTTTTTGCTTTTTTTTTTAAGGGTGCTAAGAATTTCTTTATCAAGAGCTTCCCCGAACCTCCAGATGTGGAGGACCAGAGCCTTCAACAGCTGGGGGAAACGGCGGTGGATAGGGCCCGAAGCAGCTAGGGAATGTCAGGGGTCGGAGGGAAGGGAAGGTGGGAGAGGGCAGCTCACCAGGGGCCAGGGGCACAAGTGACAAAAGATGCTGATTAATTCGTCTGCGCGGCCTGTTATCGGTGACACTGAAACTGTTATTTTGGATAATGCCCATTGTTCCGAAAGGGGAGGCCGGAGAAGAGGGCAGCGAGCGCGCCCGGCGTTTGTTGCCCACTCGCCAAGGGCGGAAGGAAGGCGGGGGTGGGGGGTGGGGAGTGGGAAGAGATACCTCGGTGAGTAACCCGAGATAACAATAATAATAATTTTTTTTAAAAAAAAAAAAATCCCCTTTGGGACCTTTCCAACGGAGTTGAAGTTTGGGAGGCTTCTGCAGCCGCCCCCCCCCCACCCGCTTTCCCTCTTTCGATTTCTTGCCACTCGGGATGCCTCGTTCTCTCTACTCCTCCTTCTTCTTCTTCTTCTTCTTTTTAATTTAGCCATAAATTGGAGCAGTTCGAGCTCTGAGCTGTTCTATTTTCTCCCTGTCAGAATGAGGGATTTGCCTTATGATGCATTGTGTATTAAATACAAGTAATCTGGGAAACTTGATGGCTCCAGAGCCCCCAAACGCGGGGCAGAGCCGAGGTTTCTTTTCCAACCCGGGCGACGCCGAACTCACACCTTCCACCACCACCACCCTCCTTCGCCCACACACCCCCGCCGCCGCCGCCGCGTGGGTTGAGCCCCGCATAGAAGCACTTTCGCCGCGCAGCGAGGAGGAGGAGGAGGAGGAGGAAGCGGCCAGGAACGAAAAACCCCCGGGCGCAAAGGGAAGGCTTGTGGGGAGAAAGGCTCCGGCGGCGTTTGCCCCGCGAGACCCGGGCAAGCGAGCGCGCCGAGTCCGTGTGACACCAACTTCCGTCCCTCCCCGGATTGGAAAGAGAGGCGCCAAGGAGGAGCAATGGCAGCTCCCGGCCGGTAGATGGCGTTGCGGGCTGGCCTTCGAACGGCCTTTCCCCCTTTTCGTCTGAGCCTCGCAGCTGAGGCGCTGGCTCGAGGCTGCGGCGCTGAGAAGGCGGTCGCTGTGCGCTGCCCAAGAGCGCAGTCGAAGCCCGGTTCCAACAAGGGGAGCTTGAGCCCCGGCTGCTTGCAGGAGGACACGGATTGGAGGCCAGAGGGACCCTCCGCAGTGTTTCTCTATGTGGGCCCCTTCACAGTGCTTGGACTGCAGTTCCACTTATCCCCAGCAATTTCTCTGCGTTGGCCCCTTCACAATGCTTGGACTACAGTTCCAGTTATCCCTAGCAATTTCTCTGCATTGGCCCCTTCACAATGCTTGGACTACAGTTCCAGTTATCCCCAGCAATTTCTCCCTATTGATCCCTTCACAATGCTTGGACTACAGTTCCAGTTATCCCCAGCAATTTCTCTGCATTGGCCCCTTCACAATGCTTGGACTACAGTTCCAGTTATCCCCAGCAATTTCTCTGCATTGGCCCCTTCACAATGCTTGGACTACAGTTCCAGTTATCCCCAGCAATTTCTCCCTATTGATCCCTTCACAATGCTTGGACTACAGTTCCAGTTATCCCCAGCAATTTCTCTGCATTGGCCCCTTCACAATGCTTGGACTACAGTTCCAGTTATCCCCAGCAATTTCTCTGTGTTGGCCCCTTCACAATGCTTGGACTACAGTTCCGGTTATCCCCAGCAATTTCTCTGTGTTGGTCTCTTCACAATGCTTGAACTATAGTTCCGGTTATGCCCAGAAAATAGAAGCTGTACTGGCCAAAAATGATTGAAGCTGTTCGGGTGATTTATCTGAAGAATGCCAACTCTATGTGGGCATAGAGTGAGTTTTAAAAAAACAACAAGTTTTCATCCTTCTTGTTTTCAATAGCACTCAAGAAGTATGGGAAATAAAGAGCCTAAAATGATTGCCTGGGCAGGAACTTTAGCAGTCTCTGAAATTATCATCCCTTACCATCTCCATCTATGAAGCTTCTGCACATGTTTTTAATGTATGCCTAAGATCTACTCCTCAAAAGTGGGCAGAAAATGTTACCAATACAACCG